CCATCAACTAGGTTCTCTTTCACATTCACTCTGAGATCACTTCTCACATAGAACAGATACCACCACCTTTCCTATTTACCTTGTCTCTCCAAAAGAGAACATAGCCAGGTATATTAATGGCTCAGTCATGTGAAGAATGAAGCCAAGATTCAGCAATACCAATTAAATCATAATTCTGTTCATGCACCAAAGCTTCCAACTCCCCATTCCATACACCAATAAGTACTGACACCTGTCTACCCCGTTTATAATCTAATTCTCCCTCCCCCTTGATCCTAATTTAAATACTCTTCCAGCCTTCCCATAAACCTCTCCCCCAGCACAGAAGACCCCCTTCCATTTAGGTGCAAACCTTATAGGCTGCAGCCCAATTAAAAGTCGGCCCAGTGCTCTAGAAACCCAAATCCTTCCTTTTTACATCAGGCCTTTAGCCAAGCATTGAGTTCTCTAATCTCCCCCTGTCTTTCCTGAGTTGCATCTGGCACAGGTAATATTTCAGAGAATATCACCTTGGAGGTCCTCCCCTTTAACTTGCAGCCTAGTTCTTTAAATTGATTCTTAAGGAGCCTCCACCTTCATGTATTCTGTCATTGGTTCCAACATGGACCAAGACAGCTGGGCCATATCCAGCCTCTCCCAGTTGGGCCATAAAGGCCATTTGTGTTTCTCTCCCTTTCCTTTCTACAGGCTATGGACTCTAATGCTACAACCCATAAAGGGTTGAATGTTTATATCCGTGTTTGTTTATTATGAAGTATTTTGTATATGATTTAGGCCAGAGGAATGGTGTTGTTGTATTTATTTATTTATTGTTAATTTTATTTTTTGTCATTTTATAAAAAAAAGCTTTTTTGTTTGTTGGTCGCAAGTTCTCTTGAAATAAAAATGTCCAGCCTCTCCCAGTCATTTATAAACCCAGTCCACCACAAGCCGAATCCTGGACACCAGGGAAACAGCAAACCATTCGGTTGAGGCGATCCTGGCGACAAATTATTCTTCTGATCCTGAGTCCTTCTGATTATAGAATCCGCTACTACCACTAGTTGTCTAGGCCTTCCTGCACTACCCTCACCACCCCTTCCAGATGGTCTGCCCTCCCGGCTGTGAGGGATAGCAGTGACATCTAGGGCTGCCATCCCTGAGCTTGCCACCCCCACATCTTCACCCAACTTGGCAAATCTGTTTGGGTGCACAGACCCAGGGCCAGCCTTCCTAATCTATGAGCCCCTACCACTCCCTGTCATTACAGTAACCCATCGTCCTACCTCAGTGTTTCTCAACTCCAGTCCTCATGGACCCCCAACAGGTCATGTTTTCAGGATTTCCATTATTTTGCACAGGTGATTTGATCAGTTTCACTGCCTTAGTAATTACCACAGCTGTTTCATCTGAGGGAAATCCTGAAAACATGACCTGTTGGGGGTCCATGAGGACTGGAGTTGAGAAACACTGTCCTACCTGATAATCCTGATTAGCCCCTCCGCCCTCCATATCAATCCAATTAGCTACCTGCTCAGAGAGCAGAAGACCCCTTTCAAGGTTGTCGGTTCTGCCCAGTGTTGCAACTTGCTCCTCCAGATCTCTAACGCAAGTTTCCAGAAGGGCAACCCGCTCACATCTGTCGCAGCGGTATCCATCCTGGAGCTGTTGCTCCATTGTTGCATACATCCGACACACTGCACTGCACAAAACCTTCAACCCTGCTAGCACACATTATCCCAGTTACAATATTAATAGAAAATATCAGCTGTCACTTACAGGTTAGTAGACTCCTGGTATAATCTCCTTTTTTCCACTCTGGTTTATTCACTCCACTTATGAAATGTCCACTTATTCAAAAGTCCAGCAAGCAAAATACAGGCAAGCTCAAGAGTGAGCTCTACAGCAAGTTATATAGAACCTGCATCACCTGTCACCAATTACCCCCTCCCCTTAATTAGCAGACTGAAGGAAGACAAGGAAAGGAAAGGAAAGGAAGAAAAAAAATGCAATTTAAAAAGTGACGGAAAAAGTGATTTAAAAAAATAAAAGCTTTTAGCAAGAACCAAAGAACAGCTAGGTCATGCTCAAAACAATTACAAGCACCAGCAATCACCAGCAGTCAAAAAGTATAACTTTTTTACTCTCCGCTCAAATTTCCCTCTCTTTTTAGCTATCAGTCAGCAAAAAAAATGCCAGAGGGTGGATCTTTACAGTGGGAGACACAGCAATAAAAACCTGAAAGAGGTTCTAACTTCTCACCACTCTAATGAAAATTCCTTTGGCTTTATATCAGTTTTAGTGCATAACTTCTCTCATGTTTTAGTGAATAACTTCTCTCAACTTTTGAGGGCTCTTTTGCACATTAATCATTTATAGTTGCTCATACTATATTTATACTGGTTTCAAACATCTTTGATCATAACATGGCCTACAGGGTACATACTGTTAACTCTTATGCACATTGTTGACTGCCTTCTACAAATGCTCATCCTCTTTTTTTAAAGTAATTCTTCAGTCATTTATAAATATTGAAAATCAGCAGCTACAAAAACTGTAACTGCTGACTTTTAATAAACAGACACTTACCTGTCCAAGGATCCAATGCCATCCTCAACAAGGCCGGTTTCGCCACCGGCCTTCGGATCCCTGGTGCCAGCATGTTGACTGTAGGCAGCACACTGTGCATGCATGGGCCACGCTGTGCTTTGTGAATGGCCCCACAGCCTTCTGGGACCTGTGATGTGTCCCAGAGGTTTGTGGGCATGAATGTGCGGAGGAGAACTTCCACTCAAAGTGAAGTGGGAGTGGATACCAATCAAAACTAGGTACCCCCCCAAAGAAAAATATGGTCCAAATATATCAGAGGAGGGGGAAGGAGGAGAAAGAGGGTAACTTTCCCTTTTGGGTGAGGTTCCACTTTAATTCCTAGTGAGTCAATAACCCAGAACATGTATGCAGCAAGTAAAGTCTGATCAGCATGCATTTTCCAGGTTAGTAAACCAGAAAGGTTAAGCACAAAAGTCATTAAACTATTATTTTCAAAATCTAAACTAGGTATTTGTCTCTGGATAGGGTTCCTTTAAAGTGTAACTGCAAGAAGACAGTTACATATTAAACTAATACAACATGGAAGTAAATATACTGTATGTTGATGGACTTGCCTTTAAAATAATTTGCTGGTCTTTTCAGCAGTGGCACATGCACTTCTGGCACAATTCATAGCCAGGAAAATCTCTCCACTTTTTCTGTTGTTGCTTTCTGGGCCACATCTCTGGTTCTTTGATAGAGCTGGTGATGAAGATTGTCCAATAAGCACATTGGAGGTAGAAAGATGACTCGTACAATTGCAAACCTGAACCAGGAAAAAAAAGGTTGTCAGATGCCTGGCTGTGCAATCTGACAAAGGTATGTCATCCAAAGACTTGCTAAATGGAACAGCACATGTTTAGACAAAGGTACAGTATATATATGTATGTTTGGGGTTGTATAACTCAACTGTAGTGCTTACTAGTGAGTACAGTCCACAGCAAATATTACCACTTAGGGGCTCGTTTGGTCACCTTTATATAAAAGAAAGTTCACACAAAGTTCCATAAAGCATAACCCATAATCCAAAAACATAAAATATCCAGCCTCCCAGCTCACGTTAGAAAATAAACAGTTATACAGTCTCCTGGCTTATGCGTACCACAGGCCTTCCACTTTAGATCCTTTACTTGCCAACACTGTCCACATAGATAGCAGCCCTTGCTGCTCTGGCCCTCAGACATGGGTCTCTGTCTTTTCCAGCACAGACGTGAACCTCTGTGGCTACTCCCTTGCACACCAGGACTCCTCAGGAGGGTTGAGCCCTGAGCCTTGGTCAGGTCACTACTAATAGCCCAGTACACACCTTACCAATCAGTGTGCTGGTGATTCCAAATATCTGGACCCAGGATGGGAGATTTTATCCCGCCCGGACCGTTTGGGATCCCAAAAATGTACTTTGTAAACAATGAGGAAACTGAAAAGTTAGTTTCCTTCTAATCAAGCAAACCCCTGGAGCCCCTCAACCTCCCTGGCTGAGAATTACGGGTTAACATCACCCTGGTGCAGTGTTTCTCAACTCCAGTCCTCATGGACCCCCAACAGGTCATGTTTTCAGGATTTCCCTCAGATGAAACAGCTGTGGTAATTACTAAGGCAGTGAAACTGATCAAATGACCTGTGCAAAATAATGGAAATCCTGAAAACATGACCTGTTGGGGGTCCATGAGGACTGGAGTTGAGAAACACTGCACTGGTGGGACATTGCACTGCTACAATATATACAGTATCTCACAGAAGTAAGTACACCCCTCACATTTTTGTAAATAGTTTATTATAACTTTTCATGTGACAGCACTGAAGAAATGATACTTTGCTACAATGTAAAGTAGTGAGTGTACAGCGTGTTTAACAGTGTAAATTTGCTGTCCCCTCAAAATTACTCAACACACAGGCATTAACCTCCCTAGCGGTCTGATTATGTCCATATTTCTGTGCTCAAAGCGGTACATTTTTTTGCATGGAAATATGTATTTTTTTTATTGTAGGCCTGTAATTTTTAGGAATAACTCACTGAAATCTGTTTGAACAAGAGCTCTAGTAAACATCCCGGGTATGATAAAATTTGAAACACGAAATCATAAATTATAATTTAATAAATAATCATAAAAAATAATAATATAATAATAATACATTTAATTCAATAATATAATCAAACCAAAAACACTGAAATGTGAAATATAGCGCCAAGTTCGCACATCACTGAGCAAAGTCACAAAATCGTTTTCAGTGTCTGATGAGGAATTTCCCCACGAATCATTATCACTCAATACTGTAAGTGGTTCTAATTTACTATCACTGTTCTCTAGCCGGTCTAAAACCACTTTTGACCTAAAAGGACGCTTTTTGGACTCCATGGATGTTTCTCGGTTTCCATGCAGAAAGAAGAGTAAAAATGCAGGCAGGGCGCCGGACAAAGCACTAGGGACAAAATGTATGTGAAATGCTTTGATACAGTATTTTTTACTATGTGATTTTAGTGTATTTAGTGAATGTCACTTTTTGTCATTTTCAAATTTCCCGCCGTTCCGTCCCCCGTACGTCCCGACGCTCGCAAGGGACGGAACCCAGATGACAGATGCCGGCATCCGCCGGATTACATTGCCGGGGACACTGCAGGGGGGACATCGCGGGGAGCGCAGGACAAGTTAAGTGATCGAGGGATCCTGGATCAATGCTGCATGGTAAGCCCGAGTGTAGCTCGGGGTTACCGCTTGTGGTACTGAAACTTTACCCCGAGCTACACTCGGGAATACCGCCAGGGGGGTTAATGTCTAAACCGCTGGCAATAAAAGTGAGTACACCTCTAAGAGAAAATGTTCAAATTCGTCCCAATTAGCCATTTTCCCTCCCCAGTGTGATGTGACTCGTTAGTTTTACAAGGTCTCAGATGTAAATGGGGAGCAGGTGTGTTAAATTTGTTGTCATCACTCTGTCATACTGGTCAACATGGCACCTCATGGTAAAAAATTCTCTAAGGATCTGAAAAAAAGAACTGTTGGCCTAGGCCAGTGATGGCGAACCTTTTTGAGCCCGAGTGCCCAAACTGCAACCCAAAACCAACTTATTTCTTTCAAAGTGCCAACACTGCAATGAAACCTGAATATTGAGCTTTTGGTTTAGAAAAAAACAACTCGTACAGTAGTGCAACCCTAATTAACTGAGTACAGGGATGACCAGAGACTGCGGACACAGTACAGGGATGACCAGAGACTGCGGACACAGTACAGGGGTGACTGCCAGTACAGGGATGACCAGAGACTGCGGACAGTACAGGGATGCAGAGACTGCGGACACAGTACAGGGATGACCAGAGACTGCGGACACAGTACAGGAGATGACCAGAGACTATGACCAGAACTGCAGACAGAACAGGGATGACCAGAGACTGCGGACACAGTACAGGGATGACCAGAGACTATGACCAGAACTGCAGACAGTTGACCAGAGACTGCCAGTACAGGGATGACCAGAGACTGCGGACACAGTACAGGGATGACCAGAGACTGCGGACACAGTGACCAGAGACTGCGGTGCATGAGACTGCGGACACAGTACAGGGATGACCAGAGACTGCGGACACAGTACAGGAGATGACCAGAGACTGCGGACAGTCAGGGATGACCAGAGACTGCGGACAGTACAGGGATGACCAGAGACTGCGGACACAGTACAGGGATGACCAGAGACTGCAGACACAGTACAGGGATGACCAGAGACTGCAGACACAGTACAGGGATGACCAGAGACTGCGGACACAGTACAGGGATGACCAGAGACTGCGGACAGTACAGGGATGACTGCGGACGTGGGGATCAGAGACTGCGGACAGTACAGGGATGACCAGAGTGCGGACAGTACAGGGATGACCAGAGACTGCGGACAGTACAGGGATGACCAGAGACTGCGGACAGTACAGGGATGACCAGAGACTGCATACAGGATGACCAGAGACTTGGATGACCAGAGACTGCGGACACAGTACAGGGATGACCAGAGACTGCGGACACAGTACAGGAGATGACCAGAGACTGCGGACACAGTACAGGGATGACCAGAGACTGCGGACAGTACAGAGATGACCAGAGACTGCGGACACAGTACAGGAGATGACCAGAGACTGCGGACAGCACAGGGATGACCAGAGACTGCGGACCAAGCACAGGGATGACCAGAGACTGCGGACAGCACAGGGATGACCAGAGACTGCGGACAGCACAGGATGACCCAGAGACTGCGGACAGCACAGGGATGACCAGAGATGCGGACAGCACAGGGATGACCAGAGATGCGGACAGCACAGGGAGACCAGAGACTGCGGACAGCACAGGGATGACCAGAGACTGCGGACAGCACAGGGATGACCAGAGACTGCGGACAGCACAGGGATGACCAGAGACTGCGGACAGCACAGGGATGACCAGAGACTGCGGACAGTACAGAGATGACCAGAAGACTGCGGACCTTTGGGGAGGGAGGGGGAGCGGGTACCTGAATTTGACAGGTACCCGCTCTTACTTCCGCAGAGTTTTTTTTTTTTATCTTACCTGTTCCTCGATCCAGCGCGCGCTGTCTTTCCGGCTTCTGTAGTGTGGGCGCTCGTCGGACAGCCGGATGCCCAGTGCGCATGCGCGAGAAGCGCTGCGCTTTGTGATTGGTCCGGCGGCTTCTGGGATCTGTCATGTGTCCCAGGTACCGCCTTACCATTCACAAACAGCACTGCTTCTTGTGCATGCGCACTTGGGACCCGGCTGTCACGCACACTACAGCCGGGAAGACAGCGCGCCGCTGGATTCTCCTGGCGTGCCCACAGATAAGGCTCGGCGTGCCGGCTGTGGCACGCGTGCCACGGGTTCGCCATCACTGGCCTAGGCTATAAGAAGATTGCCAAGACCCTGAAACTGAGCTGCAGCATGGTGGCCAAGACCATACAGCAGTTTAACAGGACAGGTTCCACTTATGACAGGCTTTGCCATGGTCAACCAAAGAAGTTGAGTGCATATGCTCAGCGTCAGAGGTTGTCTTTGGGAAATAGACATATGAGTGCTGCCAGAATTGCTGCAGAGATTGAAGGCGTGGGGTCAACCTGTCAGTGCTCAGACCATACGCCGCACACTGCATCAAATTGGTCTGCATGGCTGTCGTCCCAGAAAGAAGCCTCTTCTAAAGATGATGCACAAGAAAGCCCACAAACAGTTTGCTGAAGACAAGCACACAAAGGACATGGATTACTGGAAACATTTCCTGTGGTCTGATGAGACCAAGATAAGCCTATTTGGTTCAGATGGTGTCAAGTGAGCGTAGCGACAACCAGGTGAGGAGTACAAAGACAAGTGTGTCTTGCATACAGTCAAGCATGGTGGTGGGAGTGTCATGGTCTGGTGCTGCCGGCACTGGGGAGCTACAGTTCATTGAGAGAACCATGAATGCCAACATGTACTGTGACATACTGAAGCAGAGCATGATCCCCTCCCTTCGGAGACTGGGCCACAGGGCAGTATTCCAACATTATAATGACCCCAAACGCACCTCCAAGATGACCACTGCCTTGCTAAGAAGCTGAGGGTAAAGCTCATGGACTGGCCAAGCACGTCTCCAGACCTAAACCCTATTGAGCATCTGTGGGGCATCCTCAAATGGAAGGTGGAGGAGTGCAAGGTCTCTAACATCCACCAGCTCTGTGATGTCACCATGGCTGGCATTTTATGCTGGCTGATCACTAAAAAGAGTGGGAAATTTGAAAACGTTTTACTTTTGACTGCTGGTGATTGCTAGTGCTTGTAGTTGTTTTATTTTCTTCTTTGGGTCTTGCTAAAAGCTTTTACTTTTTTAAATCCCTTTTTCTGGTAATTTTTAAATAGCATTTTATTTCTTCCTTTCCTTGTCTTCCTTCACTCTGCTAATTAAGGGAAGACGTTACTTGGTCACAGGTGATACAGGTCCTATATAACTTGTTGTAGAGCTCACTCTGAGCTTGCTCATTCTTCAGCTTGCCTGTATTTTGCTTGCCGGACCTTTGACTAAGTGGACATTTAATAAGTGGAGTTAAAAAACCGGAGTTGAAAACAGGAGTCTACTAACCTGTAAGTGACAACTGATCTTTCCTGTTAATTTTGTAACTGGGATATGAGTGCTAGCAGGGTTGAGAGTTTTGTGCATTGCACAGTGTGCCCACATGTAGGCAACAATGAAGCAACAGCTCCAGGATGGATACCACTGCGACAGATGTGAGCGGCTTGCCCTTCTGGAATCTCGCATTAGAGGTTTGGAGGAGAAAGTTGTAACACTGGGGAGAACTATCAACCTTGAAAGGGGTCTTCTGCTCTCTGAGCAGGTAGCTAATGAGATTGATGTGGAGGGCGGAGGGGCTAATCAGAATTATCAGGTAGGAAGACGGGTTACTGTGACGAGAGGGAGTGGTAGAGGCTCACAGAAAAGGCTGGCCCTGGGTTTGAGCACCCAAACAGATTTTCCAAGTTGGGTGAAGATGTGGGGGTGGCAAGCTCAGGGGTGGCAGTCCTGGATGTGACTGCTATCCCTAACAGCCGGGAGGGCAGACCATCTGGGAGGGGTGGCGAGGGTAGTGCAGGAAAGCCTAGACAGCTGGTGGTAGTAGGGGATTCTATGATCAGAAGGACTGATAGAATCATTTGTCGCTAGGATCGCCTCAACCGAATGGTTTGCTGTCTCCCTGGTGCCAGGATTCGGCATGTGGTGGACCGGGTTGATAAATTACTGGGAGTGACTGGGCATGACCCAGCTGTCTTGGTTCATGTTGAAACCAATGACAGAATACATGGAAGGTGGATGCTCCTTAAGAATCAATTTAAAGAACTAGGCTGCAAGTTGAAGGGAAGGACCTCCAAGGTGATATTCTCTGAAATATTACCTATGCCATGCTTAACTCAGGAAAGACAGGGGGAGATTAGAGAACTCAATGCATGGCTGAAACCTGGTGTAAGAGGGAAGGATTTGGGTTTCTAGAGCACTGGGCCGACTTTTCATTGGGGTGCAACCTATATGCTAGAGATGGTCTGCACTTAAATGGAAAGGGGTCTGCTGTGCTGGGGGAGAGGTTTATGAAAAGGCTGGAGGAGTATTTAAACTAGGATCAAGGGGGAGGGAGAATTAGATTATAACGGGGTAGACAGATCAGACAGGTGTCAGTACTTATTGGTGGGTGGAATGGGGAAAGATGGGGGGAAAGGCTATGGCAGATGATAAGAAGGTTCCAATGTTACAAACAACCAGTGGAATTGGTACCATTTGTATGAAACTAAAAAATATGCAAAATACGTGTGAACAAGGTGTCAATCAATTAAAGTGTTTGTTCACCAATGCCAGAAGTCTGCCAAGCAAAATAGGTGAGTTGGAAGCTTTGTTGCATGAAGAGAGCTATGATTTAATTGGTATTGCTGAATCTTGGCTTCATTTTTCGCATGACTGGGCCATTAATATTCCTGGCTATGTTCTCTTTCGGAGAGACAGAGTAAATAGGAAAGGTGGTGGTGTTTGTCTCTATGTGAGAAGTGATCTCAGAGCGAGTGTGAAAGAGGACCTAGTTGATGGAGTGTGATGAGGCTGAAGTATTATTGGTGGAACTACACATGGGGGTGCGTACTACAAAGGTAATCATTGGAGTTTGTTATAAGCCTCCCAGTGTTAATGAGGAGGTGGAGACTCAGCTCCTTGCACAGATGGAAAGGGCTGCAAGGGTTTGGACAGTGATAATAATGGGGGATTTTAACTACCCGGATATTGACTGGAGTAAT